CACGCCAAGGCTAGGATTTTCATTACTACTCAAGAATTCATTTATAGCTAATTCTCTGAGAAAGTTGTGTCTACAGGGCTCAGACAATGGCCTGAGAATTGAATCGAATTTCATGGACTAGACTGAGGATATCTGAGAAAGGTTTCATTAACTGACAGTTGGAGGCTTCACTAATCAGGGGAGGCAGGGACCAAAGGATAATATCTCCAAGGAAGAGAAGTCTGAACAAGTGGTGAGAAGTCTGGGCTTGACCCAGGCTCTGGGAGATATGAGAAATTACTTAGAGACTCTGCATTAGTTTTCTCACTCTTGAAATACATAAGGAGGAGGGTCTGAAAAGGGGAACTTGAATTTATTGAACTTCTACAATATTTGAATGGGTGTACAGTGCTTAATAGACATTATTTCAATCAAATCAATACAAGAACAGTGAACAATTTCCATTAGCTTACATTTGAAGACAACGTACTGAGCTACTCTTCAACACTGGCACTCAATGACACTTTCAAGCTTACCCTTACAAGGGCCAGGGAACGGGAGACACTGGTGTCGCTGGGGCTATACATGCATATAACATTTCTGGAAGGCAATTTAGCACATTTTAGGAAATTAAAAATACTCATATCTTGAAGTAATTAATTAGTTCTATTTCTGGAGGCCCTCCAAAGATGGAATCTAAAATGCCTCAAAATAAAAGAATTGGAAATAAATAAATAGTCGATCAATAGAACACTCATTGAGCGAAAAAGCATGCAGCTGCACAAAAACACTTAATGAAATGGAATCTTTTCATTAATTTAATGGGAACATGAAATCATAGCTTTGAACATAAGGTATGAGACAAATTTTTGTGGGAAAAAAATAGAAGAAATATAGTAAAGCATTCACAATAGTTTTCTCTGGGGGTAAGAAATCTATACTTTAAAATTCTCCTTTGTGCTTCGCTCTAGTTTTTCACATTTTCTAGAATAAACACCTATCATTGTCATGATTCAAAGACAAATGTTGAAAGCTACATTCTATCCCTGAAATATGCATTCACATACGAAGTACAAATATGATTTTATTTAAATAAAATTCACTTGGGTTCACTTAGACTTCTGAATTGTATTCAAGTAGAATTTAAGGGTAAGAAATAATTTCTGTGACGGTTTTAAAGAAAATTCAAGAGAAACAGGATACGGGGGGTGGGGGAAGGAACAAACCCAAGATGGATGGCACTATTATCCAACAAGTGGATTCTCCACTGGCTATAAAGACCACTGGGAAAGGAGCAGAGAAGCTGTCATACAATACAAGAAATGGCGATAGGATGGGATTAGGGACTAGAGGACTAAAAGCTTGAGTTGCTTTCTAGATTTGATGGAGCTGGCAGATATGAATTTTTCAATTTTAGGAGACTGATAGGGATCTGAAATAAATCTTCAGCATTTTCTTTTCAAGATAAATGTTTTAAAATAAGTGTCTGCAGCATGGATGGATGGCCAGTGTCTGTGTCCTGTCTTAGAGCTCATCATAAATAACACTGAGAAAAATAGCTTTGGCCATTCTGAAAAGTACCTTTATTTTTTTACTCTTAGGGGCTTAGAAGATAATGTGTTGATACATTAAGCTAGCTTAAAAAAAAAAAAGAAAAGAAAAGAAAATGCACCTGCAAAGACGAGGAAGAGTAAAGAAATTGTCTTCAGATGGGAATAGCTACTCAGGGTTTAACATGGAAGTTTCCTGAAAGCCTGTAAGTGCTTGTAACGGCCAGACTACACATTCGACTTTTAATGCATCTAATGTGTTTATGGTTTAAAGAAATCTTCTGGTGAATCTCCAGGTGAAAGTATTAATTGTCTTTCAGTTCCACAATGAAAGAAGTGAAAAAATCTTTTATAAATTCAAGTTTTCAAATGCTAGACTTGCATGAAAAGGGGTTGCTTGAGTTCTGGCTGATGCAGTAGGGAATCCAGTGATTCAATGACCTATTTGTTGTTTGGTGGGTTTTTTGGTTGGATTTTTATTGTTGCTGTTGTTTGGTTGGTGGGGGTTTGGTGGTGGTGGTTTTGGGGTTGGGTTTTTTTTGGGGGGAGGGGTTTACTATTGGATGAGAAGAGGAACTCTAGTGGCCTAGTTGTAGGAGTCATGCTGTCAAGACAAAGGTATTTGGTTCAAATCCACTGTACGAAATGGACTTGAATTGTAAGAACTACCTTCTCTCTGTAACTTGATTTGGGCCACTATTAGA